CACTACCTACTAGGGCGTCGGTTTCTCTTGCGCACAGATCATAACAGTCTTGTGTGGCTTATGCGATTTAAACACATAGAGGGACAACTTGCTAGATGGCTAGAAGAACTGGCACAGTACAACATGGAAATTGTCCATAGACCTGGCAAAAAGCATACAAATGCAGATGGAATGAGTCGATTGCAGGACAATATTGCAGAGTGTGACTGTTATAATGCAGGAGCAAACGTTGAAGATCTTCCTTGCGGTGGCTGCCATTATTGCCAGAGAGCACACTTACAATGGGGACGGTTCATTGAGGATGTAGATGACGTAGTGCCTCTATCAAGTCGATCATCTTTGTCTCCAGGACCCGTGCTCAAAGTGAGGACAGTAATGCAACTAGATAAACAGCCTGGGCAAGGTGATTCCTCTGTGTGCAACTGGGCAGTTGGAAGTTCGCCATCTGAAGTACGATCAATGCAGGAAGAAGACAAAGATTTAAGTCCAATCATTAAGTGGCTGGAGAATGATATTGAGCCCAAGCAGTCAGAGCTCCGTTTACAGAGCCCAGGTACTCGGACACTGTGGATGAGTAGAAAGAATTTGCAGTTTATAGGCAGGGTTTTATATTACAGATGGGATGGAAAGGCAAACAGAAGTCTCTGCCTCCTTGTGCCACAAGGACTACAGCGTTCAGTTTTACATGGTTGTCATGATATAAAGACCTCTGGCCATTTGGGTCAACAGAAGACTCTCGAGCGTCTTAAGCAAAATTATATGTGGTACAACATGTCCAGGGACTGCATAGATTATGTTGCCTCCTGCCAAACTTGCAATCAAAACAAAAAACCTAATGTGAGGCCGAAGGCTTCCTTAGGTCAGTATCATGCGGGTTTCCCCATGGAGCGTGTTCATTTGGATATCCTGGGACCATTTCATACAAGTGAGGATGGTAATAACTATGTACTGATGATGATTGATCAGTTTACCAAGTGGGTGGAGATGGCAGCCCTCCCTGACCAGTGTGCACTGTCTGTAGCACAGAAATTCTTGGTGCATTTTGTTGTCACATTCGGATGTCCCTTAGAAGTGCATACTGATCAAGGAAAGAATTTTGACAGCAATTTGTTTAAGGCCTTGTGTGAGACGCTACAAATAGCCAAGACGCGGACTACACCCTACCATCCCTCATCAAATGGGCAGATAGAACGATACAACACCACTGTTCTCCAGATGAGAAGATGTTACATAGAGAAAAATAATAAAAACTGGGATAGAGATCTCCCTCTCCTAGCAATGGCCCTTCACTCCACTATTCATCGTCAGACAGGTTATACCCCAAACCGCCTTATGCTTGGTCGAGAGGTTATTCAACCTGTCCATTTGCTTACTGGAAATATCCCAGATGGTCTTGACACTTGACACTTGAGCCAAGTGATTGGTGCACTGACCTTGCAGCTCGTATCTCCAAGGCCCACCATCATGCACGTCAAAATATACAAATGGCCCAACTTCGTCAGAAAAGGGACTATGACCTTAGATTGTTTGAGAATCACTATAGTCCCGGAGATATTGTGTATAAGTTGGACTCGACAACTAAAATTGGTCAATCATCCAAACTCAGACCTCCATGGACAGGGCCCTATCTGGTAGTCTCATGTGATGCGCCACTCTACACTCTCAGGGATCAGAAAAAAGAGCATGTGCTACATCATGATCGGTTAAAACTGTGCAAAGACCGAGATATCCCCATGTGGTTACGAAGGCTGCGTCACCAGTATTTCCAGGATAATACATCAAGCACTACTTCTAAGGATCCAGATTTAAGTATGGTTCAGGAATTCAAGGGACAGGATTCAGACGAGGATCTCACTGAATCAATAGAAAGTCAGGACCACAATGGAGCTTCGGATGATAACGAGCCTCTTGTGCTACCCAAGGTTGCTGTACAAACAAGACATGGAAGGAATATTAATCCTCCATCCAAGTACAAAGACTTTGTGTAGAGTCATTATTTTGTACATAAGCCAATGTATATATCTCTTTCTATATTTCTTTTTCTCAGTTTTCTTTCTGGAAAAGCCAGTGGTCCTTAAATTCAGTGTAGGATATTGTTATTTGTATAAGCGATTATATTTGTAGACTGCAAGGATAATGGAGGAAGATTTGTGGGATGTAAATTTTGTCCCTGACTATGACCCTTCATCTGAGAGCCAGTCGGAGGAGTGGATAACTCTGGATGAGGTGATGTCTGACACTAGCATCCCGGGAGATACCGGTACACAGGAAGCGAACAAAGAGGGACAGTCTCCTCCAGCATCTTCCACAGAAGATACCAGGACAGTAGTGCTTGGGGCTTTATGCTCTGGTAGTACTGGTCCACGAGCCGGGAAGTACAGCTGCCCTATCTGTGGTACCAAGCTCAGTGGACATGTAAAACGACATGTATTGCTGACTCATTTGCCATGGTTTTGGGTTGGGACACTTGCTTGCTGGGAATGCCGCCAATTAGAGGGATCAACCCTTAGTCTGGCAGTCAAGCACACCCTTGCCCACAAAGGTCAACAGAGGTTGTTTGATGACGAGAACCTCCATGAGTGGTGCCAGCTCTTTAATGGGTCCCTTCACTTGTTAAGAGAGTGGCTCGGACTGGACAGTTTGGAGTGCTTGCGCCAGTTTGCATCATCAAACCTGTATGACAGTGTAGTGGGAGAATTTAATACACAGGAGACGCAGTTGATGACTTTCTACTCTACCCATTACAGTGAACACCGAGTCGCCCAGTTTAAGCTCAAGCCTTTGAACCATGTAGCATGTTTTCTGCATTGGCAGGCTGTTGGTACCCTACTGAAGGGCTTGAGTATGGAGCAGCAGGAAATGTTCAGGCAGCATCAACAGCGACTCTTGGCGAATGGCATGACCATTGATAGACCCTTTACTATAGCAGGGAACCCCATCATGGCCAGGATTGTTGACAGTCATTTTCACCTAGACCAAATTCTGCGCCGGACCAACTTCAAGACCTGGTTTGAACTAGAGCAGCAGTTCGGTGGAAGGGTTCAGGTGCTACATGCCGTAGCTAACTATGTCTTTCCCCGTCAATGGGAATCTTGGCAGGAACACATATTGGATGCCAAAAACATATCAGTCTCCTTTGGTATCCACCCACATGTTGCTGACCTGGCAGAGCAGTACCTTGACAGGCTCATGGACTTAGTAACACACCAGCGTTGTGTAGCCATTGTGGAGGTTGGGATTGATCTCACCACCAACTGCAGATGTAACCCCTGTGTGAGGCCAGAGGCTTGTAGGGAGCGTTTGCTGCAGGCTCAACAGGACTTTTTAGCAGATGCCCTTAACTTGGCCAGAGATGTCGGTAAGCCTGTAATTCTACACTGCAGGGATGATGGATCCGGTGAGGCAGCCAAACGCACCTTGGCCATGATCCGTATGATGGACATGACACACCATGCTTTCCATCGACATTGCTTCACAGGTTCGGTGGAGGAGCTACGCCAGTGGGAGATGGAATTGCCTGCAGTGAAATTTGGCGTCACAATGAGATCAGCGCAGGACCCAAATCTGGTGGCCAGGATCCCAGTTGAGTGCTTGTTGTTGGAGACAGATGCTCCATATTTATTACCAGCTCCTGGATGCAAGATGAACCACCCCTGGAACCTAGCATCTCTTGCTGCACAGGTTGCTTCTATCCGCAACACACCAGTTTCATTTATCCTGGAGACATGTAACAACAATGCCAGGCAGTTCTACAGATTATAATTTTTTTTTCTCATCATGTTTATCAATTATATAGTGTATTTTCTATATATGTATATTTTAATTACTTCAGAAAAAGTAATTTTTGTTATGTAAGTGTATAAACGCATTGTATATTTGTCATGATTACTCTACATTTTTCTTACAACATGCATATGTGAAGGGATTATGTCTCTCATCGGTACTTTGTTGAAAAGTAGTCATGATTGGGTTGTATTTGCATGTATATTTTTCGTACTTTTGCACAAGTTGACATTTAGATGATTTTGTACAATATTGGGGGTGGATTTTTCAAATATAATTACTGATTGATAAAATTCGCCAATGGATACCCTTGGCTCTACAAGGAGGGGAGGAGTGTGGTACCACAGCCCGACTCATCCGTGTACGACCTATCTCAACTAACATTGATCTCCCTGACCTCCATCTTGCCAGACGTCTGCTAGACATAGCCTGTCTTATCGACCTAATCTGGAGGGATTTGTCAGGTAATTCGTCGACCATTACGACAAAAGTTCAAATTTTTTGTTTGTGTTTTTACCATAGAGAATGTTGAGTGAAAAGCTTAAGTTGTAATGTATAAAGAAATGTGGTCGTCATTACAAAATCCCCCCCCCCTTTTTACAAAATAGGATTCTCAGTTCTGAGATATATTTTCCTTTCTTTTTCAAAAACTTTTCGGGTAATACTTTTTCCCAGGTTTATGAACCTCCTACTTTAGAAATCATGCTCCACCTGGTATCCTATTGATTTATTTAACTACATGTATGTGTAAAATAATTTTTTTCCTCTTCAAATATCCTGCGGTAACAGGTTTGTTTGCTTGATCTACCTGTTCCCAGGAGTCCGTTTGCACAGAGTCCGTTTTTTTTTCGCCCAATATCTATATTTAATTATGGCTATCAGACCCTATGCGAACAAATTTTAGGGCGAGCGGACTCTGGGTGAATGAGAAATCTGGCGAACAATATTTAGGACTAAAGAACGTGGAACCTAAACAAAGCACCGCCCCCCCCCCACCCTCTTGAAAATTCTTTCAACCCCTCAACAAAAAAATACCCCACTATTCTGTCCACAAGAACCTTTGTGAATTCCAAAATATATGCAGATATAAAGAGGCTTATATTTACATCTAGAATGCAAGACTGAAATTCCCAAAAATGAGTTGTACTGTATATATATTTACAAAATATTTATTAGTTGCAAAAATATTTATTAAATGTTGTATTCTATACTTGCAGGTATTTGCATGGCACTCCTTTATACCACAATGATGGCTTTTCCAAGATTATAAATATGAAACATGTAAACAGGTAAAAAAAATCTAAGAGAGAAATTTAATATTTGTTGCAGAGCCTGAGGTGCTGTTAATGATAATCATCTTTTATTTGCGGCAACTTTATTTCACAATTTACCAGGGATAAACTAGTTCGCGATCAAGCCTTTATGCATCTGTTTTTCATAGACAAATATACTTTTAGGACGGGTTGTCCATCTGTCTGTCTGTCCGTCCGTCCGTCTGTCTGTGCAATCCTATCCGGTCCATATCTTTCTTACAGAGGGACATTAGAATCTACCACTCCACACTAAGATTGCTCATGACCAAAGGGTGTGTCATGACCTTGACTCAAAGTCATTTTGGGAAGTTCAAGGTCACTGGAAGAAAAAATTCATAATTCGTGTCCGGTCCATATCTTACTTATGGATAAACTTGGTAGGTTCTCATTTCACACAAAGATTGCCCATGTGTGTCATGACCTTGACCCAAAGTCATTTGGGGAAGTTCAAGGTCACTGGAAGAAAAATTTCATAAATCATGTTTGATACATATCTTTTATGGATAAACTTGGTAGGTTCTCATTTCACACAAAGATTGCCCATGACCCAAGGATGTGTCATAACCTTGACCCAAGGTCATTTGGGAAAGTTCAAGGTCACTGGAAGAAAATTTTCATAATTCCTGTCCGGTCCATATCTTTCTTATTGATAAACTTGGTAGGTTTTCATTTCAAACAAAGATTGCCCATGACCCAAGGGTGTGTCATGACTTTGGCCCAAGGTCATTTGAAGAATATCAAGGTCACTGGTAGAAAAATTTCATAATTTGTGTCCGATCCATATCTTTCTTATGGACAGAGGATGACAAATCCCATTGCCCGACGCCCGGGGCTAGTGAATTTTAGGGTTGGGCAAGTGAAATTTTACAAACCACTTGCCCGTGGGCAAGTGACTTAATCAATTATCAAAAATAAAATCAATATCTATGCCAATATTCTACTCAATATTTTTTATATATATTTATAAATACAGAATAAGTTAATGGTAGGGCAGGCAAAAATTCAGGTAGGGCAAGTGAATTTTGACCATGTACTTTCCCTTGGGCAAGTGCCTGAAAAATCTATTTGTCAGCCCCTGTATGGATAAACTTGGTGGGTTCTCATTTCACACAAAGATTGCCCATGACCTAAGGATGTGTCATGACTTTAATTCAAGGTCATTTGAGGAAGTTCAAGGTCACTGGAAGAAAAATATTATAATTCCTGTCCGGTCCATATCTTTCTTATGGATAAACTTGGAAGGTTCTCATTTCACTCAAAGATTGCCCATGACCTAAGGGTGTGTCATGACCTTGACCCAAGGTCATTTGGGGAAGTTCAAGGTCACTGGAAGAAAAATTTCATAATTCGTGTTTAATACATATCTTTATTATGGAAAAACTTACTTCTGAAAAACCCAGCGGGGGGTATTTTGTCCCGTTTGGACAGTTCTAGTCTTGCATTTCTTTAATGTAAATATAATCTTCTTTAATTTATAGAATACATGTTTTAAATAAAGTGACAAAGGGATAATGAACTCATTGTTATTGAACCTACAGACACTATCTGACATTTTTTGAGTTTCTCTGTAGGCACAGTTACTTGTCATCACAAGGATCAGAATTCAAGTACCAGAGTAGTCCTAACTCCTAAATCATCCCAATTTGTCAAAAGTACATGTAAGTATTTTATCATTTTTTGGGACACTTTTTTAGCTTACCTGAGCCAAAGGCACAAGTAAGCTAGCTTCTCTGATCAGAAGTTTTTGTTGGTGTAGTTGGCGTAGGCTTGTCGTAAACTTTTCACATTTTCATCTTCTTCTCAAGAACAACTAGACCATATTCCAACCAAACTTGCTACAAAATATCCTTGGGTAAAGGGGATTCAAGTTTGTTAAAATGAAGGGCCACGCCCTCTTTCAAGTGGACATAATTATGAATTAATGAAAAATTAATGGCATTTTAAAAAAATCTTCTCAAGAACCACTGGGCCAAGAAAGATGAAACTCATGTGGAATCATCCTCAGGTTGTATAGATTCAAGTTTGTTCAAATCATGACCCCTGGGATTAGGTTGGGGCCAAAATGGCCGACCCAAGTTTTACATTGGGATATATAGGGATACCATTTTAAAATCTTTCTTTCAGGCCAGAATTAAAAATATTTTTGTTTCCCCTAACCCGACCCTAAAATTTCAAGTTGGGTCGGTAGGTAGGTAAACAATTTTATTTTCTGACAGCAGCTTTGAAAAAGCATTCTAAAATTTAATGGAAAATTTACATTTATAAATAAGAAAAGTACAAAAGAAAGTGATTTGTGAACAAAATGCTAAGTATTATACATATGCCGTTTAAAACCAAAATTCATGATTAATTAATTCACAACTGTAATTTAGATGAACTTGTGAAATATCTCACGCCAGAGTACGTTTATGTAAATCGAATAAAAAAGACAAGATCCTCAAATACGCAAAGACTGGATATCCGAGTATATTTTTTTCAAAACTTCAATCATCCTCCAGTGCTTACAGTCATTGTACTTTTTTGAGGTCTATGAGATTTACATTGTATCTAGAGCATTTTGCTTTTGAGTTAAGACGTAAGTGGTTAAGTTTAAGTCGCAGGTTTAAATACCAATGAGGAACGTTGAAAACGGTCCTTCAAAAGGGACCATAAAACTTTTGTCCAGTGTCGCAGAAGATGCTGGCTCAAAAAGATCCCACTGCTTAATCCCCTACCCCGCAGTCACGCATTTCAACGCATATACCATTTCCTATTTCTAACGCAAAATCACGCATTTACCGTTTCCCCGCAATCACGCATTTTCACGCACTTTAAACAAGTCATTTAATCTTCAAGTTATTGCTCAATTCCAACTATTTTATACTTGCTTAAATCTCATAAAAGAAGAAAAGTTATTTTCTAATTAAAATATTACGTCATGATATTATTTACGCTAAACTTTAGAGAAATTTGTACCCCGCTATAAAGTGCTTGTGGGGAAATGGTAAAGTTATATTTCTATGACGTGAGAATTCAGTGTATGTTGCATAACAATTCTATAAGTTGTAAAGAGTTAATGACAAAAAAGTGCAAAGTACGTCTAAATTTGGAGCAATGGTGAAATGTTCAAATGTCGTCCCAACAAATCTCAAAGGGATTAAAAGCAAAGAAACAACCAATCTTCAAGGGCCTAAAATGACACTGGACGTCTCAGGAAGCTGAATTATGATCAAAACTATTTGGAAAGAGTATTTAAACAATATTTAAATGAACCAAACTGAATCTTCAAATGATAAAAATGCTAATAAAACAATGTCATAGTCACGCAGTTTAACCCGTAAATGAAGGCATAAAAAAGTACAACTGAATTATATTTATCATGATGAATATGCACACATAGTTACAACAACTCCTATGATTCCATAATGGCATATACTAGTAGTTAACATAGGAACATAGATGAATTGTTTATTAGATCAAAACTCAAATAAAATGCAGTGAAATTGAATGATGTGTTTATTAGGTGGGCCCCTCATCTGCTCATGAGGCTGGCCTTTCCGTGTATTACGTACCTGAAATTCAACAGACAGATTTGTTTGTTCGTTGTTTACCGTCCTTTTCGAACATTTATTCACTCACATGGAGACGCCAAGACACCTCCGAAACACTCTTAATTAGTCATGGTAAATTTTATTATCAAATTGTTTCAAGAGTGAAGAATTACATGTATAGTTTAAGTTAGCTAAAGGCATAAGACTGATATATCGCCGTTGTTTTATGAAGAACTACTTCTCTGTAATCACATCTGGGCGCTATTTTTTTTCCATCAAATGCTTGAATATCACAGTAGAACAATGTCGGCCGTTCTGATAAAAACTGATTTTGATGAAATTGTATTTTATAAAACTTAGTTGACAATAAAAAAAAATTTGAATTATCTTATTTCAAAAATCTTTTCAGTCGGTGCGTTTTATAGTTGGGTCGGTCGCGTTAGGGGAAACAAAGGTATTTTTTATTTTGGCCTCAAGTACTTCAGCGCAAGTGAAGTAGTGATATTTATATGGAATCATCCTCAGGTAGTGTAGATTCTAGTTTGTTCAAATCATGAACCCCTGGGTGGGGGGTAAAATTAAAGCCCCCCCCCCCCCCCCCTCATAAACTTTCAGTTCTGATCTGATATGTGCTTTTTCTTAGCAGATGTTCTCAGGTGAGTGCTGTGGCCCCTGGGCCTCTTGTTTTATCCTATGTTTAGTCTTTGCGCTTTTATATATGCCTATATTACAGATTAAAGCAAGGACTGAAGTTTCTGAAATACAAGGCAAACTCAAAGGTCAATGTCAAAAGGCCAAAATTGTTAGCATTTGAAGGAAGGTTTAGTCATATGGAATAAACTTGTGAAATGTGAGACATTTAGTATTAACTGTTAAAAAGTTATGGCCTAGATTATAGTTTTTAAAAGTGGGTCTGGTCAAACTCAGGTCAAGATCAAATGGTAAAAAAAACTCATTGAAGGGTCTTGTCACAATGATTACAAAATAATGTGAAGTATCAGATTGATAGCACTAGATGTTCAAAATTATAGCCTAGGTTAAAGTTTAGGGATTTTTTTTTTTTTTTTGGTAAAAGTGGCTCAAACCCTAATATCAAGGTCGAGAGGTAAAATTTTAAATTACCCCAAAAAGTTCTTGTCACAAGAAATACACCTGTGGAATATGAAGCCATAGCTCCACCCACTCATAAGTAATGGGTAAGGTTAAAGTTTTAGCAGACAAATACAGGAAGCAAAAAGATGGACATACAGTGCAAAAACAATATAAACCCAAAAATCTTTGATAACGGAGGCAAAATTAGTGCATAATTATTTTTTCATGACCGTTTAAATAATTACAAAGATTCAAACATACTAATATTGCTTTAAAAAGTTGATCTTGTTATTTAATTTCAAAATAAGAAAAATAAATGAGATATAAATTAAATTCATGACAAGTCTTAATTATATTTTTAGATTTATTTCTGTTCTTTGCTTTACAGAAAGCTTTCGCTGATGGACACAAATTGTTCAGAAAAAATCCAGTTACCACACTAATCAGCCATAGATTTCTGACGTGCTTTCAGAAGGAACATAGATGCAATGGTAGGTAAATTTTGCTTTTAAATTCCCTTGCAACAGATACAAATTGCATCATCAGATCTGGTTCAATGAAACACAGACAATATTATCTCAAGGTTTGTTTGAAACCTGACACAAGATTATTGTTAGGGCCCCGCTCAGCGGGTGCCCTGTAGTGATCAGTCTGTCAATCCGTCTGTCCGTCTGGCTTTCCGTTCGTCAGTCCGTCCGAGATCTCTTGTCCACAGCATATCTTCTCTCCCCTTGGCCCAATCTGGCTCATAACTCACCCACAAGAGTGCCCATTGGGTAACCAATGTGCAGTGACCTTGGACCATGTTTCTAGGTCAAAGGTCAAGGTCATAGCAGAATTGTGTGAAAAATCCTTGTCGAGAGCATATCTTCTCTCCCCCTTGGCCCAATCTGGCTCATACTTCACCCACAAAGTGCCCTTGGTAACCGGTGTGCCGGTGTGCAGTGACCTTGAACCATGTTTCTAGGCCAAAGGTCAAGGTCATAGCAGATTTTTATGAAAAATCCTTGCCCGGACCATTTCTCTCTCCTTGGCCCAATCTGGCTCATACTTCACCCACAAAGTACCCTTGGGTAACCAGTGTGCAGTGACCTTGGTTGATGTTTCTACGTCAAGGTCATAGCACATTTTTATGAAAAATCCTTGTGTGGAGCATATCTACTGAGCTCTCTCCTTGGCCCAATCTGGCTCATGCTTCACTCACAGAGTGCCACTGGTCAATGGATGTGCAGTGACTTTGGTTGAAGTTTCTAGGTCATGGTCAGAATTAGCCTTTCTGTTTTGTTTGGTGCATAATCCCCCCCCCTTAATTCCAGTAAATTCTTATACTGTAAACGTACTTTTTTCCACAGGGTCATAATTCCGCGGAATCTCAATTTCTGTTTAATCCGCGTGTAGAAAATTACGCGGATTTTCTAGACTGTCACTAAATACCTTTCATTTATATAAAGTACGCTTGGACGAATTTCCGCGGATTATTTGTGACCGCGTACATAGCGTAAATTAATACCACGCGGAAAAAAATACTTCTACAGTAACTGGGTATACAAGATAACTTTGATATATATCTATGGAACGCCATAGCTGCCTTAAGGTATGGTACACAATGTTACATGGTGTGTTCTATATAATAAAGGGTTGAATCAATATAATAAATGGTCTCCACTTCTTGATAAAGGGTGAAGCGCATATAATACATGGTGTGTTTAATATAATAAAGGGTCGGTTCTGTATGTTAAATGGTCACCATTCCATGTTAAAGGGCGAAGCGCACATAATACAAGGTGTGTTTAATATAATAAATGGTCGCTGCTACTAGTTATAGGGTGAAGTATACAAATTAAATGGTGCATTCGATATAATAAAGGGTGGAATTAATATGTTAAATGGTCGCCGCTACTTGTTATAGGGTGAAGAATACAAGTTAAATGGTGCATTCGATATAACAACGGGTCGGTTTAATATGTTAAATGGTCGCCGCTACTAGTTATGGGGTGAAGTATAAAAATTAAATGGTGCATTCGATATAATAACGGGTCGGTTTAATATGTTAAATGGTCGCCGCTACTAGTTATAGGGTGAAGTATACAAATTAAATGGTGCATTCGATATAATAACGGGTCGGTTTAATATGTTAAATGGTCGCTGCTACTAGTTATAGGGTGAAGTATACAAATTAAATGGTGCATTCAATATAATAACGGGTCGGTTTAATATGCTAAATGGTCGCTGCTACTAGTTATAGGGTGAAGTATACAAAAAGGGGTAAAGATGTGTCAAATTGTGTAGCTAATTTTACATAGTTTCAAAAGAAAAAAAAGCAAAAAATAAACAAGCAAACAACCCCCACTCCCCTTCACATCTCAGAATTAGTAAATTTAATCTGAAACAATAAAATATCAAGATATCTATGTAAGTCTGTGGTACGAGGGGGAAAGTGCACCGATTTGATTTTTTCATTCCAATGCCCCCCCCCCCACTTTTTGTTGCAGCTTGGTTGAAGTAAAGTTTGTCTCACTTTAAAGTATTTAATTAAGAATATTTCAAAAAGTTAGAGAAAGATCCTACCCCCAGTAGTTTTTTTCAAATTTAAACCTGTAAATTATTGACGGCTTTCAATTTTTACCCCCCTCCCTTCATAAAACGTACGGCAAAATGAGAAGTAACACTCATGAGAGGTTCGCCCCCCCCCCCCCCCCCCCCCCCGGAAATAGTTTTTTCACATTTGAGAAACATGTTTGTGGGTTTTTTCTTTCTTTCTTTTTTTTTTTTGCTTGTCAAGAGATGTCAGGAATGAATGTTTATTTTACTGGGGTGGACCCCTCCCTTGGAAAAAAAATTCCTGGACCGCATCCGCGCCTGACACTTAGCTCTCCCCCCCTACCATTAGCCTTTTTTTTGCAATCGTACTTGATAGATTTACACATTTAAATATACGAAACATTTTTGTTCCATCAGCCAGTTCTACAAAGGATAAGTTCGTCCAATTTTCCTTGCAAAATTTTACCCGGATTGCTCATTCTTAATATCTTTCTTCCTTTTTTTTATCTTTAAATAAGAATACTAAAGGAGAACTGTGTCATTGAAATCCCTCTCTAATACCAGTTAATTAATTTATCATAGCTAAAATTTAATGTGCGTTTTTTGAAACCATGCATGTAAAATTAGCTGAACAATGCATGAAAATTGTACAAGACACATTTTAGTGTGTTATTTAACTTATTTTAAATATTTATTATGTGCCTTTTACCCTATTACAAGTAGCAGTAAACATGGTAAACCAACCATTTACTTTTAGAACACACCATTTATCTACCTTTGACACTAAAACAAGTAGCGGCGACCATTTAACATATTAAACCGACCCGTTGTTATGTGTGCACCGAATGACCATTTAACATATTAAACCACCCCATTTAATTTGTATACTTCACCCTATAACTAGTAGCGACGACCAATTAAAATATTAAACCGACCCGTTGTTATTTCGAATGCACCATTTGTTTTGTATACTTCACCCTATAACTAGTAGCGGCGACCATTTAACATATTAAACTGACCCGTTATTATATCGAATGCACCATTTAATTTGTATGCTTCACCCTATAACTAGAAGCGGCGACCATTTAACATATTAAAGCCACCCGTTATTATATCGAATGCACCATTTAATTTCTATGCTTCACCCTATAACTAGTAGCGGCGACCATTTAACATATTAAACCGACCCGTTGTTATATCGAATGCACCATTTAATTTGTATACTTCACCCTATAACTAGTAGCGGCGACCATTTAACATATTAAACCGACCCGTTGTTATATCGAATGCACCATTTAATTTGTATACTTCACCCTATAACTAGTAGCGGCGACCATTTAACATATTAAACCGACCCGTTGTTATATCGAATGCACCATTTAATTTGTATACTTCACCCTATAACTAGTAGCGGCGACCATTTAACATATTAAACCGACCCGTTATTATATCGAATGCACCATTTAATTTGTATACTTCACCCCATAACAAGTAGCGGCGACCGTTTGACATAGTAAACAGATCCTTTATGATATCGAATGCACCATTTATACACCTATCACCCGATAACATGAAGTGGTGACCATATAACACAATAAACTGACCTTTTTTATTATATTAAACATACCATTTATAATGTATCTTTCACTGTATAATAAGGAGTGGTGACCATTCAACATAAAGAACCGACCTTTTTTTATATTGAACACACCATGTTTATTTCGCTTTACCCTTTAAAAAGGAGTGATGACCCTTTTTTTATTGATTAACCCTTTATTAAATGGAACACACCATGTAACATTATGTACCATACCTTAAGGCAGCTATGGCGTTCCATATATATCTGTGTTCGCAATATCCGTGAAGTTGTACTAAAATTTTTTACTGTATTACAAAATGCTCCTCTTCAAAATTAACCCGTTTAAACTGTCTTACATTTTCATGTCCATTGTTGAACACGGGGCCCTATGAGATGGCCACCATCTCAATGATGTTAGTTTTGTTTAAAGTCATTTGCAGGAAAATTGTTTTCATTTTTTTAATAATTTTATACTTAAGAAATATATACACTTTTAATTATAATTTATGATGTATGATTTTGAATTAATTATAATTTATGATGTTTGATTCTGAATTATTTTAAGAATTTACAGTGTAGGCAATATAAGTTCAACCTTATACTAAATTGAACATTGGGGTGATATGAGTTTGCTATGTACATGTATACATTTGTTCATATTTTGAATATGCTATGGCAATATTGACTTTGAAAATGCATTTGTAAAATTCATGACTGTA